CTTTTAGTTGAAAATTGTTATTTTGAATATAACACTGCCATTGTGCAGTGTCCACAGCTAGACCCATTTCCCTTAATTAGTCTATTTTATATAACATCTAATTCACATTAGATGGATTAAATGTCATCATCCTAATCCAAAGTTTTATTTAGCAAACTTTTACTTATAATTATCAAGGATCATAAGGTTGCAAAGGTATTCTATATCAGAAATAGAATTTGCGGTAAGTACTCAATAAATATATAAATATAAATCTATATATAAATTTGGCTTGGGTGTCTGTTTGTATAATGCTAGGCTTGAGGGTGCTTGTTAGCTTTAAACTGCTAATTTTCAAGTTGCCATTTTTTTGCGTAATCTGCAATAAACAAGGTGTTGCAACTCTGTAAACTTGAGCCGTTCTTTATTCTAGATGCATAACTTTTTTAGCTGTCTAGCTTTCTGTGAGTTGGTGTCCAGGTTTTTCTGGAAAATTCCATTGATCTTTAAAATTTGAAATTCTAAATTTATTTACATTTCAGAAAAACAGATTTTTTTCTCTCGATTTTTCGATAAAGAATTAAACTAGCTGTTTATTGTCTCCAGTTTAAAAGACTTTTACCCATCTGTTCGTTATGTTGATTACGTTTACGAGAATTAAAAAAAAAACTTTATTCTCCCTCAAATCTTTCTATTTCTTTACCCCCACCCAAAAAGAATAGAATATATATTAGAGTGGAATTTACTAGAAAAAAGTGAAAAACTACCATTTTGTTGAACTGTTTCCATACTGCAGGTGTACTTCACATATTTGTGTTATATAATTTTTGGAGCTCTGGAACAACATTTTATAGAAAATCTAAAATAAATATTAAAAGAATACCAAATTATGAAATAGGCTGGTTTCATAATTGACCAATGATCATTTAACATAAACTCTATACCCTTCACTTTACAAACGATGATTTTCCGTTATAACTATAAATCAAATGATGTTTTTTATTCACCTAATTCATTTTATAAGGTTTATTTAACAGCTTTAAAAAATTCGAAATTGAAATGGATAGTCTAGGGAACATACTGTATTAATGTACTCTACTGCATATAATTTGTGAACATTTACATGATTTGTAAACTTTGATCTCCCTTTCAGGCTGAAAGGGATTGGCTAAATTCCACTCTAATAAATATTCTATTCTCTTTGCCCCTGCACCCCCTGTCCTCACCAGCTGTAACCTTTGCGCACCTGCCTTACTCCATAATTTAAATATTGATGTCTCTCTTTTTTTTGTGACAGTCGTCGTCCAATATCTGTCACAATTGTAATATTACAATTATCGAACATTGATATTCAGCTGAGTAAAATTCGTCAATTGGATAATGGGTGATGGAAAATTTGAATTTTTTATATTTCCGTAAACTTTAAAACACACAGAAACAAAAAAGTAACATCGTTAAAATCTTAAATATTTTTTTGCCTTTTATTTTCTTTCCAAATTTATGTTTTTGAGGTTAAGTTGATTTGTTTAAGGAGAGGGAAAAGTAAGCTTAGATAACATGAAACTAGAAGATTAAAATATAAATAGATAGATAGAAAGCTAGACAGTTAAATTTATAGATAGCTAGATATATAGAGGTGTATACATATATTGATTGATTGAGTTTTGGAAATAAAAATGTCGTATAATTTAAAAGTTATCAGCTTTGGTTGGAGTTTTAAAATATTTTTACACTTTTCTATTTCTTTGTTTACAATATTGTTGTATAAACGTTGTTGGTTTGACATACATAGAAATATATATATACATACCTATTTAGGAATATATATATATATACATAGATATATACATACATATATATATATTGTTGATATAAGAAAGATAAGGATATAAAAAGATGTGAGAATTATTCATAAAAATAAATATCCTTCGATTAAATTGATAGGATAAATTATGGTTAAAGATGATATTCATAGATAGGAATATAAACCAGGATTTTATGTTAAAGGAACTTTCAACCAGGGTTATAATGCAAGAAAAGTTATTTTAGAGGTGTACGCATCTTTTGTACTGCAGTGTAACTTCACTGGGCGGTAATGTAAACACAAGACGGATAAAAAATCAATTAATATATTCTGGTCATACGAAACTATTATTTGAATTATCAAAATTATCAAAATTCAATGCTTTTAACCTCCTCGGATAGTAAACGAACACTTTTGCGTCTATTCTTGTTTACAAATTCCGCCCAGAGAGAACTAGTTTCAGTATGTACGCAGAGAATACGCAACTGCAATTAACTTTTCTTGCATTATAACCTTGCTGTCGGCGTAATTTCAGGTGACCCTTCATTTAAAAGCGATACATGCTCGTGTCACAGCAGTACCTACCCAGTAGACCTTCCTCGCCTAAAAAGAGAGAGAGGTCTAGTGTTTTTTTTTTGTTTGAATTTCTCTATATCTTTTTTCCTACAAGTGAATAACTCCGCAAGTCACTTTTAAAATTGCAATTAAAATCTAGTATTGAGATGGAAAAACAGCCATAGCTCAGTCATAATAAATCAGACAAGAGTTGACAGGATACTATTGTTGAATCGGACATGCCACTCTATACATAGATAAATATATATTAATATATATATGTATTGTGGATAAAAGAAAGATATGGATATAAAAAGATGTAAGAAGTATTTGGTTAAAAGAAAGATATGGACATAAAAAGATGTAATAAGTATATGGTTAGAAGAAAGAATTGTTTTAAGCCAAAAAAATTCAACATTAGGGCTGGTGGATCAATCCAACTAAGCTCGTAATGAATAGATTTGACGGATCAAATATTCATAAAAATTAATTTATTTTAAGAGTAATAAAAGTGAATACTCCTTTATATCTGCTCCATTAAAGGATGGAAATGGAGGTGATGCAGTGAAGAACAACGAACCTCCATCCAAGAGGTGACGCACAACAAGTTTAGAAAATTAAGCTAAGTTAATAAAGAATGAAAAATATTTAAATTCATAAATATTAAATTTTGTGTTTTAAAATTGCGAAGAGTAAATGGCGGCTTGAAAAGCTACAGAACACGTATATTCAGTTTATTTTGTATAAATATTTTTCTTGATCTTCTGAGTAAAGAAAATAATTCAATTTTTTATTTATACAATTTTCCCCCAATTAACTATCAGAATTCTTTTTCATTGAACTGTATTTTGAAAATTAACAATAATGTTTGTTAAAGATACTTTTATTTAAGATTGAAATTGTGTAAACTGAATTCTAATTCAAGTTATGAATATTATACTTTTTTATTTTACCACAATGTTTGTTCATATATTATACAGGAATAAAATGTTTGTGATGATCTGGGAATAAAATGTTTAATTCTGGAAATAAGTTCCGATCCTGGTGGTGATGGGCATAAAATGAAGATAAGGGAATATAATGTTTAGATCTGGGAATAAGTTCTGATCCTGGTGATGGGCATAAAATGTTAAGATATCTGGGAATGAAGTGTTTTGATCTGGGAATAAAATGTTTAGATCTGGGAATAACATGTTTAGATCCGGGAATAAAATGTTTAGATCTGGGAATAAAATGTTTAGATCTGGGAATAAGTTCTGGTCCTGGTGATGGAAAAAACAGTGAAGATGAGGATACGGAGACATGGCCGGTCAAGAACTCGGAATTATCTGATCTAGGAATAAGAAAAGGTTCATGAGATGTTTATTTTGTTATTTTTGGCTGATCATTTTTTATTATGTCCACGTCAAAAAAGAAAAGAATGTGAGTTTCTGTCCGAATAGGATTGGATAGCTGAATAAACCTCGACACTTATGTATATAAATTTGTACCTTCAGAGATTGTGTTGTGTTATTTAATACTTGTTTTTTCTCCTAATAAGATTGATTTCCCGGAAAATGATATTTGGTGTTAGGTTTCCAAAAACTTGGCTTTTTGGAAGCTTCGCGCCCATCTTCTATTTCAATAATAACCTTGCTCTTTGCACAACTTGCAAAACAAAAACAAAAAACAAATTCGTGGATATTCAAAATTTTCAAAAATCGAATTTTGTTAGATACTATTTTTTGAAAATTCGATCATCATTAAGTCTTCCTTGGGGTCATGTGAGGTTCAACAAAAAAATCAGGCCCGATCGGTTCAGCCGTTTTGACGTCAGCAATTTTGATTCTTTAACTGAGGATGAGAAACAAGCAAGGTGGAAGAAGATCTCGTAGCCCGACTCAAGTCATTCAAGGGTACAAACAGAAAATCCAGGTTCGTAAATTGTTCACAATTTTAAACCAAAATTATACTATTATCATTACTGTTTTATATATTTTTATCTATGGTCGGATTTGATTAAAAAGTTTTTATCGGACAATTTTTAAATGAAGTAAATATTTCAAATCGGATCAAATGCGTTTTTTGTCAATGTGACTATTTTTCTGGTGGGAGTAAGCAACTCCCATAAAATTCAAAAACGCTAGAAAATTATTCGCTCGCGTATGATTTATATCGACCCACCTATAAAATTTCTTTATGTGACAAATGGAATTGAAGCTCTTAATTTGTATAATGGAGTCTAAACCAATTTCTGTATTACGTAACTTATGTGAAATCCTATGTTTTAGGACCTTATTCTATTACATAGCAACAGAAAAAGATGTCCTGGACATCCTTACCGGCTTCGTCAAGTAATAGACATTTTAAACCAGCAAAACAGTTTAAATGATTAATACTAAATCTAATTACACAGATCACTAGAATTATTTTATTTCATCTGCATTGCGAGTCAGAAAGTGAAAATTGGTTCTGCACAATTGAAAGCAAAAGGATTGGGTTTCTTAATGTTAACAATTTTTGAAGTATTAGAACATGTTAACACTGTTCCATTGAGACCGTCAGGTTAAAAGTCGTGTCACTCGAATGAAACCTTTTGCAGTATAGATACATCTATGTCTAGAGATATCATAACAACCAATTTTAAAATCTGCACTGCGTGCTAAGATGGTTAAAATAATAAATTAAAAAATAGAAATAATTTTGTTAAAAATATAAATTATAATATCATAATTGAAGAAATCCGCAAAAAAAACGGGAGAAAATGTTCGAATTTCGAATTTTCGTACAGTTTTATCTCGCACTTTCAACATCTAATATACATTCAATCATGGAAAAGAACTTTGATAGAAGTTCTGTTTGTTGTTGTTGTTGGGAATATTTTGGATTAAGATCTAAACATCTTACTCCTGTGAATTCAGCCATTGGGAAGACTGTTCAAACCTTCATTTATCCTGGTTACTTGGTAGATGTTTGTAGTTATCCTAGCATGGTTTGTTCTGGTTGTCGGAGAAACTTAAATTTGCTGAAAGCAGGGAAACAATCTCGTGGAGCATGGGGTGAGAAGGTTGCTAAGGTAGAAACATTTTGTTTAATAAAAGTAGTTACATTTCTTAATCCAATTAAAGAACTGATAACTCGCCAAAAATCTTTAGTTTTCAAAGTTCTAAATCTATGCATGACGACTTTTTTATTTAAGTTTTGATTATTTACAAGCATTTTTTGAATTAAAGTTTACAAGAAGTTTAATCGACAACTTCTCATTGTTTCCATGTTTATGTGTAATGTGTATCCTTGCTGTTTAAAAGCTTGATATATCAAAACTGAGATGGAAGTCGTCTTCATTTTTAAGATATATGTATAAAATAATTACATTTTAGAGTTTTTGATTTGCTAAAAACGATGTAATCCTAAAAAAATTATAAGCAAGTTTTAAAATATTTCATTGCAGGTTGAATGGAAGATGCTGACCAGAACATCAAGCTCTTCATTAATCCAGCAATCGCCAGAACCAACTGTACAAGCTTCTTTAGAGTCTAGCCTTTGTTCTTAATGTCTGACTACTCTAGCTCCAAGGAAAAATCATAACTGCAGCCCTTCAACTGCAGTTTTGAATATGATTTTTTTGGCAATAAGTCTTGGATCTCTTCAAGCTGAACAAGTGGCAGTAGGTTTGCTCAAGAATAAGATGGATAAGGAGATTATACAAAAAGGAGAAGTTTTTCTCTTGTCTACACTTCTACAGGTGGAAACAAACTTCAGGTTCAAGTTGGTTGCTCTCATAACAAATCTAAAAGAAAATCTGTAAATCAGATTTAACGAACCTCCATCCAAGAGGTGACTCACAATAAGTTTAGAAAAATAAGATAATCAATAAAGATAAATGAAAATGTCTTAAATTCATTAATGTTGTATGACCCAAATACTCTACTCCAAACCCTAGTCCCTCCTCCTGAGCTTCATTTAATGATAGGAGTCGTTTCATCTTTGGGAAACTTATTGATGGATCTCTGGCCAGGGTTTGATACCTGGTTAAAGCTACAGGGGGTTCTACAAAGAGGATATCAGGGCCGTGGTTGGGATGGAAATAATTCTAACAAAATTCTGAAGAACCTGTATAAACTGGAAAGTATAGTCACATCTGAAGCTCCTCAACTTCTACAAATTGTAAAATGTTTAAAAGACTTTAGAGCAGTCAAAGAAGCATGCTTTGGAAAGAACCTAGATAAGAGTTTCCATAGATCTTTTGAACAGCTCAAGAATTCTCTTACTAGTGTCCAAGAAATGGCAGAAGGTTTGGGAGGAAAGTTGTCTATAACCTGGAAAATTCACATATTACTCTGTCATGTTTTACCATTTGTAGAGTACAATAATTGTGGACTTTCAAAATATGCTGAACAATGTGGCGAAGCAATTCACTCCAAGTTCAAACCTACCCACAGCAGATATAAAAGGATGGAAGAACATCCTGAACATGGAGAGCGTCTTCTTTCCTCAGTTCTAAGCTTTAATGGACGTCGAATATGTTAAACAATAATGTAATTATCGTTTTTGTTAGTGACAAAACTATTTTAATATCAGTTTTTGTTTAAATAAAAAAGATTTTTTGCTTTTTCACATTTTGTTAAATGCATTCGAATACATTGTTGATTTATTTCTTGTAAAAAAATGAGAAAATCCGCGAAAATAAAAAAAGTGATTTTTAACCATCTTAACACGCAGTGCAGATTTTAAAATTGGTTGTTATGATATCTCTAGACATGGATGTATCTACTGCAAAAGGTTTCAATCGAGTGACACGACTTTTAACCTGACGGTCTCAATGGAACAGTGTGAACAGCTTTAGCACATGTTGTGATGCTTTTATTTACAATTAACACCTTGTTGACCAGTTTTGCATTGATTAAATAAATGATTAAATTCTATTTTGTAGAAATTTTTGTTTTACCTTGTAACAGACTGAAATTCTTGTTTTCTAAAATAAATATATTTTAGAGCTTGCAGGAAGACATCCTTTAGATTATCAGAACTTCAACTGCTCAAGATAAAGAAGTTTTTATGTACTATGTAATAAATTATCCCAACTTAAATTATTCAAATAACCAAAAAACTTTTTTAAGGAATTTTTTTCCTGTTTCATTTACTAATATCTTCCCATGGCTTCAAATATTAAATCAGTAAGTAATTAATTATCAAAATTATATTACTAATTATAAATATTACAGGGTGCCGCTAACCTATGATATATTCCACTAGTTATAAATATTACAGGGTGCCGCTAACTTATGATATATTCCACTAGTTATAAATATTAGAGAGTGCCGCTAAACTATGATATATTTCACTAGTTCTATATATTACAAGGTGCCACTAAACTATGATATATTCTACTAGTTCTATATATTACAAGGTGCCACTAAACTATGATACATTCCACTAGTTGTATATATTACAGGGTGCCGCTAAACAATGATATATTCCACTAGTTCTATAAACTATAGGGTGCCGCTAAACCATGATATATTCCACTAGTTTTATAAACTACAGGGTGCCGCTGAACAATGATACATTCCACTAGTTCTATAAACTACAGGGTGCCGCTAAACTATGATATATTCCACTAGTTCTATAAACTACAGGGTGACCCTAAACTATGATATATTCCACTAGTTCTATATATTGCAGGGTACCGCTAAACTATGATATATTCCACTATTTCTATAAATTACATAGTGCCGCTAAACTATGATATATTCAACTAATTCTTTATATTACAGGGTGCCGATAAACTATGATATATTCCACTAATTATAAATATTACAAGGTGCCGCTAAACTATGATATATTCTACTAGTTAGATAGATAGATAGAAAGATAGATAGATAGATAGACAGACAGATAGATAGATAGATAGATAAATAAATATATATATATATAGATAGATAGATCGATAGATATATTGATAGAAGTATAGATAGATATATAGCTAGATAGATAGATAGGTAGAGATATAGATAGGTAAATAGAAAAATAGATAGATAGATCGATAGAGTAATAGATAGGTAAATAGATAGATAGATAGATAGATAGATAGACAGTTAGATAGATAGATAGATAGATAGATAGATAGATAGATAGATAGATAGATAGATAGATAGATAGATTATAGATAGATAGATAGATAGATAGATAGATATATAGATAGATAGATAGATAGATAGATAGATAGATAGATAGAAAGATGAATTGAATTTCTATTCTGGTTTTGTTTATTTGTTTAACCGGAATAACCATTGAATAACAATCCGTTAACCGTCTAGAGGGGAATTCAAGACTCAGGGGAATAGATAGATATATAGACATATATATAGATGGATAGATATATAGATATAGATTATAGATAGATAGATGTAGATTATAGATATATAGATGTAGATTATAGATATATAGATGTAGATTATAAATGGATAGATAGATAGATGTAGATTATAGATAGATAGATGTACATTATAAATGGATACAATCTTTCAACAAATATATATTTATCTACCTTGACATCATCAGTCACATTTTCATGTAAAATGATACCATCGATTCCTGATTTGTACATTTCTTGGCTCGACAATTTAAAAACCATTAACGTGCTACCCAATAGCATAGGTTGTACATCATAGCGCTATAGAAGGCTTTTTATGAAATATTACATACATTTGGGAGTACAGCATACTTACACATAGTGATCTAAAACTTGATTGGGTGCTCTCATCTAATAATCTATGAGAATTTTACCAATTTCTTCTTTAGATTTGAAGTCAATGGTCAATTTTATATTTAGAAACATCGCTAAGAATTATAACTTTTGCTTCGACGACATGAAATAGACAAATTCGAATTTACTCTGGTTATCACTGTATGTTTGGTTGTGCAGTATTCGAATAAACCTGATACGAAAGACGCGAATACTTACGTACCTTAATTTTCAAATGTTTAATAGACTTGAAAACTTTTGAATCAAATGAAAACGAAAAAAAATTAATCATCCCTTCCTCTACATTACAGATGTCAACGTTTTGTTTTTTTCTAATATCTATTTTCGTTACAATACTGTTCATCAACAGTTTAAAACGTTTGAAACGTTTAGTTGCGCATTATGAAATTTTATGGTATAGAGTAATGTTACTTAATCAATTTTCTGCATTTGAATACCTTATTCAACGTTAAGCTGTAGTAAACGTTGGTGAAGTAAAAAAGTAAGCTCCGTTATGCTTTTGCATTTCCTGTTTATATTTTCTAACGTTTCTCTTTTAGAGACTTAAGTTACAATTTCATTTGGTTTGAAAACTTAAAGATTACGAACGTTTTGCTTTAATAAAACATCATTGAGGCTTAGTTTTGGACGTTTAATTTCAGTGCAAAGAATATTTTTTGTTAACGTTACGTTTTATCTTAACTTTTCCAATTCAAACTCTTTTAATTAAGATAAGAAACTTTATTAAAATGACAATTTTCTTACGCTACGATTTATTGAAACGTCGCGTTCTTGCGATAACTTTTTTTCGTTACACTAGTTAACAACTGACAATCAAGACTGTTGTCTTCGCGCCCATCTTTTATTCCAATTGTGAACATTAAATTTCTCTTTGTAAACATTGTAAAACAAAAACAAACAAAGATTTCGCGAATTTTATAAAAAAAAAATTGTGGATTTTTTAAAATTTTCAAAAATAGAATTTTGTTAAAGGAAAATTTTTGAAAAGTCGACCATTATTAAACCTCCCATGGGGTCACGCTTGGTCCCTCAAAAAATGTTGGCCCGATCTATTCAGCGTTTTTACGTTTATTTGATTCAAACAAACATGCATGTGGAACAATAGTTTCAAATTATTTTCACTAAGGGTTAATTTATTTCTATTTTTACTCAATACTTAATACAAACTGAGGTAAGCCGATAGATTTGAAATTTTGCGCGCCATTTAAGATTTTATACAGAAACGGGAGGGACTCTCTATAAATAAAAAAAAAAGGTTTTTAATTTTTCTCTACTTTATCTAAGAAAGGACGGTTTAAAAAGAAAATCAAAACCGTGTCCATTGGATACTAAGATTAAGTAATCCAGAGATGGAATTTAAAGAATTTGAGCCGCGGTTTAAATCTGCCAAAACCCGGTTTACATTAAGCGCTGGCTTAAATCTTGAAACTTTTGATACAATTTTAAGTGGAACCAAACATATTTAAGCCGCGGCTTAAATTTAAACCGCCGCTCAAATTCTTTAAATTCGGCCACAGATTAAAGATATTTCAGTCCTGACTATTCGGTGGATTTTTTTTTCAAGCTATTTTTGATAAAATTTTACAAAGATGTAATTCCTTCAAAATGTACAATAGCAAAGATGGTGTAAAATTTTGACATTTCGAAGGAACTGAAACTTTGTCATATTCTATAATTATCTAATCTCTATATATTTGCAACCTGAAAGTGTAAATTTTTTATATTTCAAACATAGGATATGTATAAATCTAACAGGATTTATAGTTTGAAATATCGAAGGTCTACAACCCAATGTTGCTACTCAAAGATATAAGGATAAAAAAATTGAGCTAGTGACTAGACTTTGTCAGAAGACATGGTTTCAAATATCAAAAGCGTACAACATCAGCTTGCAAAGAAATAGAGATTAGAAATAATTAAAATTTGTGGCGAATGTTCAGTTCTTTTTGTGTTTTTTTTTATGGTATTTAAATTATCGATTAAAAAATATCGATTGAAAAATAAATTTTTTATTCCATTCCAAAGTTTCATAAAAAT